TGTTATTATTAATTATTTGTATTAAAAATGTTTTCATGACAGCAATAACCAAATTGCTTGTTCTAAATAAAATAAAAAATATTATATGTACGCATATCTTTCTTTTGGAGTTTGGTAATAAATATGTGTTCTTAGAATTTCCCCGGGCACCTATTCTAGTATATCAGTGAAATACGTTCGGTTTTGGTTCGATTCGCGCCAGTTTTCTACACTTTTGTATAACTGGTCACTCCGCTCACGCTAGCCATTCCTCATGAAGAGGGACGCATTATTTTTAGTAGCTCACGGGCATTGAATATCTTAGGTCGCCCCTGATTCGTTCACGAGAAGCTTAAGTTCGTATCAAGTATTGCATTTTTCAATTGTCAATTTAATAGCATTCTCCGAGCAGGAAGCTCATAGCATAGGATATTGCATAGTCAAGTATTGCATTTTTCAATTGTCAATCTAACAGCATTCTCCGAGCAAAAAGACTAAAACTGGAATCTTGTTTCTGTACGTGGCAATATCGATCCTGAGCCTTGTCTGTCGGCATCAGTCTCTGAGTAAATACGTTTCTGTTTGGTTGACAGAGCTTTGCGAGGCGGCGACCAAAATCCAGGCATCTTTCCGCGGCCACATGTCGAGAAAGGAGCAAGCTGTGACTCTCGTCAAGTCGGCGGAGAACACCGTCGACAACGTCGTGTCCAAGATGGAGGATAAGGTGAGTCTCAAATTTTCTTTACTCACAAATAAATTTTCTTGTGCGAAAAAAATTAAATTATGAATTGACAAAATAATGAAATTGTAAAAATGTTGCGTTTGAACAATGGGACAAAACATTTGAAAAATATATATTGTTCGAATATTTCTACGTCTTCAGATTCCTTTGACGTGTTCTGTAAACCGTTAAGACTCTTTACGGAAACAGGAGAAGCATTCTCACGTTTACACTTCGCAAAGCGGATTCGGTTAACGACTCGCGAAACATTCATTTGAATAGAAGACGTCTCCTTCAAATAATTTGAGTTCAATGAAAATATTATAGAAATTGTTGAATTTTATTATAATTTTAAAATTAAAATTAAAACGCAATTTACAGTAAATATGTTAAAAATATGTAACGTGTCCGGTCGCTCCCTGGAGAGTTACTAGCCGGAGCTGGCCTGTCCCAATTATATGTATGTATGTATGTATTATGTATACATATATATCCATATTGATTTGTTGGATCATCATCAAACTTGAACAGAAATGCCCAATTAATTGAAGTATGAAATGCTCATTTCGAGCTGGCGTTTAGTTTTTATCACGAACTGAAATATTTTCTACATTTTTTTATTACGATATCTGCCGTTATCAGAGGAAGTTTCACGAAGTACTTGTTTTCTTTTTCGAATTATTAATTCACAGAATATTCTACAGTAGAACACGTACTAACGTCCCTCCGTGGAGTGATATTCCCAAACGCGTTTGAAGAAAACTCGATAGAACAGGCGGATGTTCGAAAACTCCGGCATTAAAGTTTCCTCACGGCCCTCCCTTCGTGTCCGAGTAAGAGTTTCCCGTTCCGTGGCATCGCACCGATGGTTTTCTGCTTTCGTAACTAGGTTGCAACCCATATACATACACATTGTACGCAACCGGCGTACACACGTCGCCGGATCGTGTATACGTATTATAATAGACGCTGAAGTGCGGGTTTTAAAATTCAATGGCTCGTCTCCGCGAGATTAATTGGAAATCGATATTCTATTATCGAATGTAATATCGTACGTACCTACTTTTCCCGTGGCCGATTCTTAATCGGATACCACTTCTCGTATCTTCGCTATCGCGTTACCCTTTTCGTCTCTACTTTAACCCCGATAATAGACCCGTTCGTCTTTGTTAAGCGAACGTGGAATTTGTCGAATTTTTCCAGATCGAATCCGCTCCAAATTTATAGACACTCGGGCCCCATTAGAGGAGATAATAGAGGAAGCAGCTTTTATCTATCTCGGTTATAAGAATAAGAAGGCATCTCTCGTTGTAAGATCCTATTACAAGAATTTTCCATATAAACGATAATATCATCAATTAAGTGTTTATTAATTTCTTTAAACGAATCTTTGTAACATTATTATAAATCGGAGAATTCGTTCCTGGTTATTTTTGGATGACAGCTCTTATTAACCACGACAGACGCAGAAGAGAGGAAAAATGTGGGTCGGCGGTGTTTTAGAAATTTTTAACCGTCATTAAAGCTTTTAAAAGTCCTGTCTTGAGAACGGTTTAAGCTGTCATCGTGAAATGCATTGTCAAGGAGTCGTACACCCATTTCTTCTTTTCCATACGCATTCGAAATTAACCGCAGTTTAACTCGTACGCGGATAGTTATACGAAATGGTTGATACATTCATATTAAAGGCAACAGAGTTACCGTGTAACGCTTCAGGCGTTGGCGGTAAAAAGAGGGCAGAGATAGAAAACAAAATTCGGAATGATGATGGTTCCTCCCGGCGTTTGTGATTCTTTTTCTTTTGAATGAGAGGGAACGTGCAAAAGAGGGAAGTGTAATCCACTCGGTGTGCGGTAAGCTAATTGCGAAGTACAGCTGCGCTTCGTTACCTCGCGACGCGAAGACCAAACTTTCCTCCAGCGAACTTTCCGTCGGAATACGTTATAATGCATCGCGCCCACTCAATAAGTTATGCGACCACCTCATTAGAAATGCCGCTGTTTTATTCAGTTTTATGGGCAATTTTTTTAAAAGTTTAACGCGTTAAATCGTGAAAACAAAATTTGCTCCTCATCTGTTTTTTGATAATATATTGTTTCAGGTTAACACGATAAAAATTTATTTTCCTGGAATGGAACACTATTTATTAAAAACGTTTCCATATTGATTTTATTTCTTATATATGAATCTACGTTGCTTTTAATTATAAAAGGCAATATATTCATAAGTGATAAATTTAGCAGTCTTTAATTTACACAAAATTGGTTGTTATTCTACAATACTTTTCTTGAATGGTAAACAATTCATTAAAAATTCTCGTACTGATTTTATTTATTATATAGGAGTCTATATAGGATGCTTTTAATTTTAACAAGAAATATATTGATATATGATAAACTTAATAATATTTAATGTTCACAATGGTTGGTTATTATTCTATAGTAGCTGGAACAAATCCTGTTAGCCACGTGCTGCATAGTACATTAACTTTGAAATTAGTTGTTTGTTCGTAACTTTAATACCAGAAAGCATCGATAATCTAATGCAATGCAACAGTTAGGCAACGTACACTGGCATTAATGGTAAATCGAGAAGGAGAGCAATGAAATTTCCTCTGAATACCCGCAGACGGTTCATGGGAATTACAGTGCGATTATACGATTTCATCCCTCCCGTGGCGGTACAATAATTACGTGCGATTATTATAAACGGCTAATGGTTGCTCGGAGCTAATCGATATTTGAAACGGATCATGTTACTCACATAAACAAGAAAATTTGTGTATCAAATACGCAATTCCCTTATGGTACCCCGTTTGAACAGTAATGGTTGAAATTATTTGGTCAAGTCAATAAACAGTTTGATACAAATGTCGTAAAACGAGCTTATAAGTTGTTCATAGAATTTNGCCATTTTCGAAATAAATGACTCAAATAAGAATACATTTTTACATTTTTTTTCTAAGTAAAAAGATAGCATGATTTTTATACTCTGCGTGTGCTATGCCAGTTAATCTCCGGTGAGTCGTGCGCGTGATATATTTCCTGGGAATTAGAAATAATGTAGAGTACGGTGCTCCGTTTAAAATAATAGCCACGTGTGTGCGTTTAAATTCCGTAGCTGCATTAATCAATAACGGAGATAAATTTATTACACGTAGCTGTTGCTATCGATTCCCGTCAATCAGCGATGAAAATTCATTAGTTTCGTAGATTAACGCGAAATTTAATGAACGACAAATTTCTGGCGCCCGTCTCGCTGCAAATCAGCTTTACGATTGACGAACTCTCTTTCCGTTAACTTCGTCACTCGCACCACTCGAATCCTTCAAAAAAATTCGTCCAATAATCAAAACTGTGATTCATTTCGCGATAAATTTAAACATGACTGACCTACCTCAGCCAATCAAAAATATTGCGTAGTTCGTTTCGTATAAAATAATTCTTAATATGATTAGAAGGAAAAGAATTTTTTGTTAGCGAATACATACCTGGTTCTATAAAAAAGTTTTATCCGTTTTATTCGCTCCACTAATTACTGGAAGTAGCATTCGTATCACGTAGTTGGAAATAAAAGAAGATTGTACTAAAAAAAAATTGTTATTCGCGAAAATGTCAAGATTTTTAATTGATGGTACGATAAATTTTATGAAATCATCCAGCTTACTGTTAAAAACTGTAAAATATTTTATAACAAGCACGAAGTTCGTAAATTAAAACAAAATAAAGATTAATTACTTAAAACTCATAGGAAATCCTTAAAGTTGTGCCGAATTTAAAACTGGGAACTAATTACAGTTTGCTACTAGATTAACGTGAAGCGGTAGTCATATCGTGACCCTATATACCCGTTCTTTCTGTTTCTAATTTCCTTAAAAGACTCCAAACGATAATATCTAACAATCAGGAGAAAGCAGTACGCTTTTAGAAATCACGTTGAAACTGAAGGAATATCTTGCAAATCCTGTGCGTACATAGAATCGTCACGCGAGAAAACACTTCCAACGACGTATTATAAAATCAATCGATTTAATGATAAAATATTATAGAAACTAAAGTGACATAAAATATATTTCGACGTATATAAATGTAAATTCAATAGTATTATAGTACTGCCATTGTTCCATAATAATAGTAGCAATAGAAAAGAAATATTGAATGCAACATTTATTATTAAAAAAACTAGACTGAATTAAACAATAAATTAAAAATATTACTCCTAATTTTTATTTCGAGTGTTCAGACAGTTTCTGGATTTCTCAATAATTTCGTTACTGCGTTTTAAATCTGTAGGTTGGACCCGTTGGCTGCCAAGCTTTTTATTCGCCAATAATTCTCGTTTAAATATTCACTTGCTACTATTATTATGGGACAGAAGTAGTAATTTATTTGTTACGATTTTTTAAACTGTATAAAGTCGAATAGTGTTTGCGGCAATTTATTCCAAACTTAAATTGTTTTGGCGAAGGTTTAGTACAAAAGAAGTCTAGGCTTAAAACAAATTACCATCGTTCTATACCCGGGGAAGGGACCGAGTCGTGGACTGCGCATAAAAATCCGATTGGCTCGCTTGGAATATCGGGTCGCGACGCATCCGCAGGAAATTCCTGTCGGTGGTGAAATAAGTCGCGGAAATTCCTATGAAACTCGCGAAATTAGAACGCGCGCGCGGAATTGGCAACGAGACGCGGTTCCCGGGAGTCTTTTTTCGGGGTCTCTGTTTGCGCTTTTTGCACATTTTTATGCGCGCGTTAACGGCGGGAAGATTCGAGGGTACAGGGTGGCATTTAGTTAACGTTGGACGTGCTCTGGTAAAAGGACTTTTGCTGGCAACCGAACCTGGCTCAAAAGTGATTCGGGATTTTTACGTGCCACGCAATCCCACTCTGCTCATGCTGTTATTTTCTATTTTTATAGCATAGAGCCAGTCGTAAACGAGGAAATTATGTTAGAGGGATTTTGTAAGACAAATTTATCTCACTATTATATAAAGAATTAAACGTT